AACTGATGCCGAACCATACCAAGACATGTCCCAACTTGACTGGGCATGCTCAGCTCTCCAACAATGCCGTAAGAGACCGAGGTAGATAACATACGAGTATTGAACGACCCTCGTATAACGACTGAGTTAATTACTTTGTAATACGTATAAAAGGAAGTAATTGCAGACCCGAGAATGGAGAGGCAGACGACCGTGTGATCTAGTGGGTGAATCTCATATTTTCAACCCAAAATTAATGTTTTTTTGTTTTAATTTTTAAATGGCTCAACATCTTTTCTGCATGCACATGCATTATATTTGTACCAAGGGATAGTGAAAATGACTTATTACAAAATAAAATGGTTAAGTACACGTTTTATCCTTATATCAAATTCGTCTCCAGGTATAAACACGTTATATTGACATATTTTCACTCAACGTTTAAAGTTTATCATTTTGAACATTAATTTGGTTGAAAATATATTTATTTTTATAAAAAATGGACCCCGAGTTTCCCACTGATTAACGTAGTTCTCATTACTTGGAGTAACTTCACAAATTACTTACAATTCCGATGAATGGGAGGGAACGGAAGAATCATGCAACGTATTTCTGTTTAATTGACATTTTAAGAATTCTTTCTAAATTATTAATTATCTGTAAGCTTGCCCATTTGAAATAAGATTTGAATTTCTTTCCTGCACCAAACTAACCTGAAATAATCTTAAGTTAAAAGATTTCAAAACTATAAAACTTCCCAGAAAACTTCCATTCTAAACTTAAGTCAGTATGAGATGTTTATTAGTAATTTAGTGTTAAGTTTTACTTTGATAAAATGTCCGGTTGAATGTCAGGATCTTTTGACTTAATATTGGAAAGTTGGGAGCCGATTCGGTCTTTGCCAAATTTTGCTTGACGTTTGTCGTGGTACAGACGTTGTGGATTGGCATAAGCGTGCGCAGCATAAAACAAGAGGGGGGGACTATATTTCTAGTTCCCCTTGTACAGTTTTCAGAACATTTTGGGGTAGTTGTTGTAGGAAGGGTCGACTCCTACTAGATCGCATTTTTTCGGGAAGGCTTAGGTACATTTTAGCTGTTTTCAACCAATTTTGGATATTTCTGAGATTCTACAAGGTATTGTGTCTAAAATGGACACCTTTCATTCACCGGCCAAGACGACTCGGGGCATCAACTGATGCCATTGTGCCTTTGACCGAGAGGTCCTAGACTTCGAATCCCGACAGTGTGGCAGGATTTTCGACACTAGCTAGACAGCTAGATCGAATTCAACCTCTGTCTGGATGAGAAATCTGACCAGCTGCTCTAATCGGTAGTTTTTCATGGATTCTCCGGTCAACAACAGGCCGGAGAAGTAGCGTAACAGATGGGCCACGTACCGCGCAAAATCCTTCCTTCCTCGTCCTCATCCCATCGTCATCCCTACTTTCAGGTCCATACACTTACTTTCACTACACTACCGCATATGTCGAGAGACGGCAATTGACGTTTTCCAGCTGGGATGATTCTCCGCTATACCTGGAAATACTAGGTTGGGGAAAACACTGCAAGCTGACGTCAGTCAGCGCCGGATCTCACAATCCTCCAACTACTAAAACATACACTACACTTACGGAACGTATTTCGTGTCACATTTTTTTATGTAATACATTTAATACGATTTCATAATATCTATAAAATGTCGCTCTCAATGTAACAAGTTCGTTATATTTTGTGGAACTGAAATTACATTTTTGACTCTATACTTGCAAATTAAAAATGTCAAGATTCACTTTCAGATACCAACGTTTCTGAAGTAAAATTTAAATAATCGGAAATGTAGAGAATGTTCAAAATATCCAATTATTGTACATTTTTTGCAAATATCTACAATTTTTGCAAAAAAGGTTATTTAGAAATAAAGAAAAATTATTTCATTATTGAAAGTAATATAGACATTGAGAATAATAGTCAACGATTTAATGATGCCAGCCCAGATATTGACTTACGCAATTAAGTAAAACGTCCAAATTTTGCATTTTTTAAATCCCTGATCAATAAGACAATATTATAACTAGATAGGAATAATATACAAATTGACTAATGTGTTCATTCGTTTGCCATCACTAAATTTTAAAATGTATCCACACCTTCCATACGTAATTTTGTATCAGGGATTTAAGACATTCACAGCAATGAAATGTTTTTTTTGCGTGAGGCTACCGGGCCCGGCAAAATTTTCAGAGGCCATGGCCCCCGAGTGCGCTCGCCTGTGTGCATGGGTTTGGAAAGTCACCCTCAGAAGGGTAGTGTTTTTGTAAGCACGTGTCATTTGAGGACGACGTGACACGCTTCAGCCGCGCGTTTCCAATTTGATGGTGGCGCTTCGAACTGGCATTCGCGATGTACATAAAACAACTTTGTTACGCTCATCACAGAAATGTGTTTTTTACGAAATCCATTTATGATGTTGCCTGCTAATAAATAATCAAATTAATTACATGGTATTTATTCATGTCTCAAACTTCTATTTCCAGGGAATTTTATGCATTAAATAATGGCAGTATTACTTAATGTCTCTTGTTCATTGTCACTTTATTATCTGTGTGTAGAGAGCGCTTCATTCGGAACGTACTGTATAATGCAAAACTTACTTTGTAGAAGATAAGGTAACAATATAATGTCAGAGAGCATTTGATCCCCCTAGAACCGTGCAGTAGCTTTTCATCATTCTTTCTCCGATTATTCAAATTTAAACTTCTTTCATTAACTCGTCAAAGTGTTCAAAACTCTCGAAATATTTATTCTCTTCCAACGTTTGACTGATAACTTTTTCTTCCGTGTATCATCCTCAGGATAGATGCTGTTTTCCAGATGTTTCCAAAACCTGTTGTCACGTTTGCAATTTATTCGTCTAAGGCGGAATTTGGTTATATCTACTAATGGCATGCTGCGTGAAACAACACTTTCTGAGGTTTATATATATATATATATATATATATATATATATATATATATATATATTGATTACTATAAAGGTTACTTGTTCTGTATATTTCGAAAGTCTGAGCCTGAGGTGCATTACATTTCAAAACATTATTGTCATGAAGCACGCACAGACGTGATTTCTAGATATTCAGATTCTAAAAGTGTGACGAGTTTGTGTTGCTCTGACAATCATTCAGAAATCAGATTCAAATTTTTTTCCGGTCTTCTAAGATTCACTGAATTGCATTTATGATCCTTTAGGATTTCATGTTTTTGAGTAGCTTTTGACGAATTTTTAATATTAAAATATCCATCTCTATTCCAAGTATTCTCCTTAATTACAATAAAAAGGCATGGCCAACAATAAAGCTTAGCTTCAACTTCACTGCCTGTTAGCCATTTGTGTAAATCATTCCAGGAAATATTCAATTTCCTTGCATTTTTGTCGTCAGTACGATGTGAAACCGTTCTCATCATAGGAATAGGTCGACCATTGTCCAAAATTTGTCTTCTTACTATAATGTTAGGTCGAGAAAATGTTGATAAGTAGTAGTTCATTCACTGAATCTGCCATAATATTAACGTAAAATTAGATTTGCATTTAAAAAATCAAGTAACACTAATAATCCGCAGCACACTTGTATAAAATAAAAACTAAATACTTTCTAAATAATAAAAACTTTCTCCGCTTGTTAACTCGTCAACAAAAGAGTAAACACAAGCGCTACGCGACTTTCATGTGTGTGTAAATCGGAGTCTTCCGTGCGGGTAAGCAGCAAGAGAATTCGCTGGCCAACGCACAACGCGCATGCGTCAAGTATAGACACAGCATGCTGTTCTATGCTCACTTAATGCCATTATGTCAGAAAACTGTGCGAAGCTAGGCTGCACCCGGGCGTGCATACCCTGCGAGGGGCAAGCGGGCGTATGACTGAAGTATGGCGCACAGGGTGTTAAAAACAGCTTGAAATGGAACTATGGCTCGTGCTACGATAATGAAATGGTCATTCTACATTTCCAAATGAATAATTCTTACACCACATTTAAGTTGAGTAAATTATTATTATTATTATTATTATTATTATTATTATTATTATTATTATTATTATTATTATGAAATGTATTAAAATGGTACATATTCATCAGGGTAGGCAATGCCTACCTTGCATACCCAAGGAGCCGCCACTGGTAATAATTCAGTACATGGGGACGCAAAGTACACTGGATTCTTCAATCGGGGTCTGCCAGGCGAAAACAACCAAAGACACTGTGAGCGCGGTTGTGCGTTGTAAGTCTGCAGCGCCGTGCGGAGGCTGATGGATTATTTTCTACAGGCGCCGCAGCTCCACCCTCGTCCTCTGCGTCATCCTCCGCCCCGGGCGAAGCGCCCACGCCCACCTCCTCACTCACGCCCACGCTCGCCGCCGCCGCCGCCGCCTCCACGGCCACCACTCCGGCAAGCTCGGGGACAGAAGAGGCTTCTCCTTGAGATCCCATCCGATGGGAATCGTCCTAGCTCACGCGCAAGACTGAAGTTATTTTTAAAATGTAGTGTGCTAATCGTGTAAAGAAAGAAGTTTCTCTGTTTTTTCTACTAGTGAAAAAGTCTTTGTTGAACAAATCATGGCCACACGTAGAGTTCATCTTCCATTTCATGCATGGTAGCCTACGCCTAGTCAAGTTATATGTAACATCGCAAAAATGTCTTGGCGGGCGCTTTATCTTCAGATCGTGCTGCCATACCGGTAGCTCACCGGTATAAAAGTTGTTGTACATGCATCCTTGATCGTCGTGAAATTGGTTTTGTGATTTTTCTGAGACTAGGAATACATACATTTCACATTCAGATGCTGCTATATTGATTTGTTAATGAATTATATTGTCATTCGCAATTAATATACACTACCTTATATTACAACTTGTACATTTCTGGTAAAGAAAGCTTTGAATTTTTTCCCCAAAATATATAGTATGAAATTTATAAAAATGCCGGACTCAGTTTCATTGAATCAAATTTCAATAAAGATTTTATTACTTTTACTTCGCAGTACAAGTGAATGGAAAACACTTTAAAAATAAATTTAACATTGATGGTAAATTACATATCAGGAAAAATGTGACGAAGTTTACATATAAAGATATTCAAACAATCAATTTGGAGAGTGATGATATTATACAGGCAGGAAACTTTACGGCAGAAATATGGACGTCATTTGCGGATTTGAAACAGCGTGACATTCACAGATAGTTTTCATGCTAAATGCATGCCGGCGAAATGCAGAAAACAACACAATGAGGGTGTTTATAAAGGATTTTGGTATCAGTGTTAGAAACAGTGACATTTTCATAACCATCGCTAAATGGTATCACAAAATGTATTTATTTGTAAATGGAAACTTATGTTAGTTATTAAATACAATCAGTTGCTGAAAAGAATCCACTGACATCTCTGGCTGAAGATAAAGTATTCCGACGACTCCAGGGTTTACGATACAGTCATTCACTTTGAGTCTGTCCGTTCCCCCAGATTTCAATAAACATGATATGAGCTTCTTCACTGCACAAAACGGGTCAACATACTTCTCGAATAAATTTAAAAATCTGACTTTTTACTCCGAAACACACAACACTCCAAAAATACGTCGGGTGAAAGGGTTCAATCTATATTCAACGTGTCCAAACATTTACACTCAACAGCCGTGTTGGCTGCAGTAGTACGCACACTTCTTCGGAAAAACCACATCAACTAAGAAAACGACACTACCGTTCGGACAAGCCATTCGGCCGGCCGGACTGCCTGGCGCCTCCCCTTGCTGAAGCGAGGGCGGTGCTGACGACGGTGCTGCGCCGGCGGCGGTCGGACGAAGCACGGGGTCCCGGCACTGGCCGCTAGATAGAGCGCGCGGCGCTGCGTGCGACCCGGGCGAGGGCGGCGGGACGAATCTCGCGCGCCCTTCAGTTCCACCACTGTCACTGCAGCCGTGGCCAGTACTGCGTGGTCATGTCGGGCGGCTGGCCGGGCACCGCGATGGGCACCGACACGCCGGGCGAAATGAGTCCTGTAACACGGCGCGAGCGAATGAAGCGCGGGTCTCTTCTGGGAGCCCCGGAAAATTAGGGAAATTGTAAGAATGATGGTGTCTAAGCATTTATAAAAAAATATTTTATTAATTAATAACATGATTCTAGTGGCACACATTTTGTTTGATTAGAAAATATTGTTAATTATGTATTTGTCGCGCCGAAATAAGAGAACTGTATATTAATAAACGGGACACAACTTTTTTAACTTGCCTTTACTTAAAGAAATGTAAAATACTTCACAACTTCTATCATGGGAAAATTTTTAAAATGTACTGAAACACCCGGAGGAAAGTCAGAGTAATATGCCCCGGCAGAGGACACCTTCATGCAAAATCATTTTGTCAGGTAACACGATTTACCAGATTTCCATATTTTCTAAAGGCAGGTTCCCACATTTTTTCTGAGTTAGGCTGACACTGCGTTGGCGATAGTGATATTGATGGTTGCGAGCGGAGAATTTGCGGATGTTTTCTAGAAGTAAAACTGATTCTGATAATTTTTTTAAATACTAACTTAAGAGTAACTTAATACTAACTAAGAGTTTCTTATATTTTTACAATTGAAGACATTCAATTCATTTGATCGTTTATGAATTCTCTCTGCACTTACAAAATCGTAAGCTTAGACGCCGATAGTGTACTACTTGGAACGCGCTTTTTTCTCCATTACCTCTATACAGCCTGAAAATTTGTATCGACGTGGCGTAGATGTATTACGGAATGTCGTAAACATGTTTCCCAGTGGAATGGGTCGTTGAATTCCCATTCTACGCTTTGAATTTTCGAGTCAAGTTTGTAACTGTAAGGAATTACTTTTGAGCGTATGCAAGATGCCATTTCAGCTTTGGGTTTGCTGACGGAAATTGTTTTGCTAACTGCAGTTGGGGTCTGTGAAATCAACTTTTCTACTGCAAAAATAACTAATCTCTGAAACGGATGTTTGTGATAATTATCGAAAATATTATATTATAAATAATGAAATGAAATTACAGTTTTTGCCCTCAGATAGTATTATACCAAGTTTTTTTATTGTAAATTGAAAAAAGAAGTGCTTTAACACTTACTTAAAATCTGATTCTACTTGAAACTTGCATGTGGTGATGCCATAGAGAAATGAAGCATACTATTAAACGTGCTAAATAAAATAATATAACGTTGGACTTTGGCCGTAAATGAGTAAATTTGCTAACACACATAATTATGACCTGATCGGCCCCTAAAATGGGGTATTTTTTTTATTTTAGAAAAAACTAATGCTCCTAGTCCTCCTAATAACCTTACATTATTCTGGAGGCAATTGACTATTAAGGCAGGTGTGTCCCCTCAGTAAGGTCCCCTGTACATCACTACCACCGCATCCACATTTTTCCTCGCGGTACTAGAAATGGGTCTTTCCCCCTCACCCTCGCGCCGACTTGCGTCTTCTGCGGAACCCCGAGTAAAGATTGTTGGTGCGTCAGGATTTCGGAGCGTATGACTGAGAAAGTGCAAATATGAAAGTTGAACGACTACTATTAAAACACAGAAAAGAGGCGACTCAGCAAACATGAACTTGAGCCGCGTAAATTTTATGTCTCTAATATAGTGACAGCCTGGTTACAATCTAATCTTCTCTAAAACCCATGAGGATTGTGGCTTGTGGGCACGTGCACGGGGAACATTTGCCATTTTATAAGTGAACTGTATGTAGAAAAACCCTACTACGCATGCGTTAGAATCTTGATTGTTAGCTGTACCTCCACTACAACCATCAGCTGCGAATGGGCAACTCCCCGTCCATAGTTCAAAGCGATATCGTCGTGCATTTGTTTTCGGTGACTTCGCGCACGATTCTGCTACACCCGTAAGGCGCCGTTAGCTTGACATCAGTTCACAGTGACATTGGCCAAAACAGGCGACGTCCGGAGGCCTTTCCATGTTTATAGAGCCCATATCCCCGACGATCAAGCCCCACCATTTGGTCCTTTTTCGGGGTTCATCTATCTTACAGTACAGTATCTGCGATTGTCAAGAATGAATTAATACATGAAGGGACTAGAACATGCTTATGTCCCCTGCGGGATAGGAGCCTCAGTTAAGTTTCTCATCAAAATTTCATTTTCGTAGTTAAATGTGTAAAAATGATGTTTATTTATTAACGACACACAAAGATAATAAATTTAGTTAAAATTTAAGGAAACAACAGGTAATTTTACTCTTAAATTTGTAAATTGAAATGTTACAGTTTTATTTTCATATTAATTTTGCTTATATGGTAATATTTGCGTTTTATTAGAGGTCCCCTAAGTTTGACGTTGCTGCTTAGGCCCCGTAAGATACGAAAATCCGTCCGTCTGTTGCGGATGAAATGCACGCACCTGTGGAGGTGGCGCCGTTGGGCGCGTACTGGTGGCCGTTCATGGGCTGGTAGGGCTGGGCGGGGCTGCAGGGCGCGGGGCGGGCGCCGTACGCGCCCAGCGACAGCGGCTCGTAGGGCGGCGGGCGCGTCATGCACGAGTAGCCCGCGGCGGCGGCGGCGCCGCTGCCACCGCCCACGGGGTCGCGCTGCTGGAGGCAGGCGCTGGGTGAGCCCATGCCCCGCCCGCCGCCGCCCGCGCCGCCTCCGCCGCCCCCGCCGCCCGCGCCTCCGCCGCCCCCGCCGCCGCCGCCCCCGCCGCCCGCCATGCTGAAGCCGGCCATGGACGGCATGGGGCTGCAACACGCGGCGCCGCAGCTGCTGTAAGGCTCTCTGCAAGCGGAAGCGCCGGCGCGCCCACCCCGTCAGCGATGTACATCTTATGTTTATACACTGTCTACACACTGTATATGTCTATATACATCTAGATGCGTCTCTATACGTCTATATGCACCTATATACATTATACATGTCTATGTACGTTTATATACGTTCACTTACGTCTAAATACAAAGAGTAGTGCATTCCTTTGAATTCCGCCGATTCCGTCATTTGATATCCAGTTTTGGGGGAGAGTTTGAGCTGTGCGGAATCGTGTGTCTTGGAAAACACCGATCTACTCAAAACCAATGTTAATGGCATTTGAAAATTTCCATTGAGCGCTTAATTGATTTCAATACTCCGCAAATGCACCATTCTGCCTGGCAGGGCTATCGGGTGAAAGGAAATTAAACGTCGACGGCTGTTCGGGTTGAACTACTCTCTGTATCAAGAGTCTCTGTATCAATCTCTACCGTCAGCCGCTGCCCAGCGTGAATGCATCACGTGTTGTTATGACATGGATATTTTATTATTTCATTTACAAAGATACATGACACGATCAGAACAGAAAGAAACAACTCACATCGAAATGAATTGTTATTTTACGTAGATTTTATCTCTAGGTAACTATTTGTATTTAAATGCTGTGCTATTATTAGTGAAACGATACCAAATTTTAAACAAACAAAACAGCACGCTCGTGCAACAGAGGCTTCCTGGGTAGAGCGGCCTCGTTCTATGGCGAACGGATTACAGCAAGACGTGATTTTCCAGAAATGTTCTACACAACTGGAGTCGCACAGCTCTGTCCACTGATCTCTACGTAAAGATGTATAGATAAGGCGTAGAATACGCCGCATTAAAACCCATTAGAACGTCGCAACCAAGATCATTAGGTCTTTTTATTTTTTTAAATTTATTTAAAGATTAAAACAGATAAAAAGTGTGTGACGTGAAGTCAGGGATGTCTGTTTTAACTAATATTATTATCAAGTCGAACTATGAATACAGGTAGCAATGAGCGGAATTGGTAAGACTTGATATGAAAATATTCGCTCTTGCTAAGACAAATCAGTTACAGGTTTTGGCTATTATCCCTTGTGTTCTACTGCCGGAATCGACCACTGAAGGAATTGACTTACTGCCGCGATAAAATGGAAAACGATTATTTGAATATCTACATTCACCGAAGTGCTCAAGAAAACAAGCACAGATAGGGAAGCTACGTTTCTGTTCAGAAGCAAAACAAGGGGCTATCCCAGCCTTTGCTAAACGTATCAGGGAAACTGGACAAAAGCGGATCTATATGGGAGTCTTTGACATAGATGCTGAGGTTCAATACTTGTTACAGGCGTATTTGGTCTTATAGAATTATAAGTCTAAATGGTAACTAATACATTAAATTTCATTGTTAAAACAAATATTTTTTCCTTCTTGGAAATCAGTATAGTCTCTAATTGTCTAGAAACTATCAGAATAAACACGTCCTCCTCTACTTCTTGTAGTTCGTATCTTCTTCCTTGTATAGAGCAGTAAAGGATCAAGGCCGCGCCCTCGTTCAAATGGGCTACAGCGGGGCACACGCTAGGCTCAATCTACATATTGATGCATCACTGGACATGGGGCATGGCAAAGCTCGATTATCAATTTTACGAATTTAGAAAAATGCTCCTGTTTCCTGAACTTGACTTTCAAAAGCAAAACTCAAGAAGTCTTCACGTTTTGGTGTTCATCCCTTTCCTAACCAAAGTTTTAAATATCTTTTATTTAGTGGACATCGTTTATTTTTGTTACAATTAAAATAAATAATCTTATATTTAGGACATTTGTTAAGGTTTCATCAAAGGTGCATGCCTTTGTATTATATATTACGAGGGAGTACATGACTCTGGAGCGACTCTAACCAGGAGGTCCTAGGTCGAGACCCGACCCGGTGGCGGATTCTCGACGCTAAGTAAAGGTCTAGGAGGAGTACAATAACTGTGTTGAGAATTCCAGCGCAGAGCTGCTTTCATCAAAAGTTGTTGTTTTTTTCGATCAACACCGATGAGAACAGCCGCCCGCTAGAATTGTCATCCAGACAGCCGCTGAATCTCGCGGGCAGCGCCACCGCAGGCCTCCGCTCACCTGTACGAGTCGGTGGGCGGCACGCTCATGGGCGGCGCGATGGACGGGTACATGGCGTTGGCGAATGGAGACCAGATCCACTTGGGCCCGGTTGCTGAACCACACCTGCTGCAGTAGGCGCCCCTTTGCCTGCGCTCGCCCCGCACGCCGCGCGGCTCGCGCGTCCATCTACTGCATGCTACGTGTGTATATGCATGTGTGTGTTTGCTGCTTGAAATGTACCTTTGGGTTTTTGTTGTTATGTTTTTTTTTGGTACTTTACGAGGCGTTAGGGTGGAAATCTT